GTGTGTTATATATGGTATGCCTTGTTATCTGTTTTATGAGACATATCTGTTCAGAGACCACATTAGATGGAGAAAAATTAACGATTTATAAAGTGAGTCGACTTCATATGGGCGCATATCTGTGTATTGCACAGAATGGTAGGGCTAACGCATATACATCACTTTGTTATCATTTTTTATGTTACATAAGCTTTCAATTAATTTTCGGTTTCTATATCTGTGTGTTCATGTCAGGTGTCCCGCCGTCTGTCTCCAGACGTATTGTATTACAAGTTCACTGTAAGTCTAATTCACTCCTTATGTCCACTTTAATCAACTAATAAATCAAATCATTGACTACTTTTGGTTTAAGAAAATTTATTAGGATTAGTAAAAAATTGTATTCAAATGCTTATTGTATACCACGAGTGATAATAAGATTTTGAACAGAATTAGGGAATTTAAATCTCTATAATATTATATAAAATGTTTAAAATAACTACAGTTCCGCCAATGATTTGGATCCCAAATCAATTAATCGGAGCTACGATTGGAGGAGAAGTGACATTAGACTGCAATACAGAAGCCTTTCCCTTATCATTGAATTATTGGACAAAAGACGATAATTATATGATTGTTTCGAGTGATAAGTTTAAGACATCTAATTCTGAGAAGTAATTGGAGGAGAAGTGACATTAGACTGCAATACAGAAGCCTTTCCCTTATCATTGAATTATTGGACAAAAGACGATAATTATATGATTGTTTCGAGTGATAAGTTTAAGACATCTAATTCTGAGAAGTCATATAAAGTACATATGAAACTAACGATCAAAAACATAGACAGCTCTGATTTCGGTATTTATCTCATCCGTCAATAATTTTTAACGGATTTATTAAAGATTTTCTTAAATTTAAGGCACATATCGTTGTTATGCGAAAAATAGTTTGGGATCGACGCAGGGCTCGATCAGACTTTATGGTAGGTTTACATTAAGGCTCAATAAAAATCCATATAAAACCTAATAATCAAATCTTTTATTTCGGTTCAATTCTGGCAGAGATTCACTACTCCAACGCCAAAGAGCCCTCAACTGCAAGAATACAGAGTATGAATGGTATGTATTGTATGGGCTTTTCAATCAGACACTTGTTTTATAATAATATTATTAAAAATAATTCAATTCTCTATTCTATGCACGAAAAATGTATGCATTAATGCACTCATCATATATTATGGTTATAATAATATGCACAAAATACAGTATATCATAACTATACAGTAATCATTATTTGTATTTTTTAATTCTATTCTTTAGATATACAGTATATCCTATATGTATACTGTTTAATAACTTTAGTCATTACAATTGGGATTATAAATAAAATATTATTACAGAACATATTTATATTTTTATAGTACATTGTTGGACACTAAACTATTTTAAATAGAGTGTCTACTTTGTAGTCTACAATATGCTGTATATGTTTGGCTACAGTATATCTGATATGATTTTGTTTCCTAAACAAAAATAAAGTATCAATTAAACTACTGTTAATATTCAGTGTTTAATTATGCAGACAAAAACTAAAAGATATTTATGATTTATTATAGTTATAAATTTTTTAGTGTTTAATAATTACATTATTATCACACTTATTACAATTTTAGTAGTAATCACATTAATTTTAAAATTGTTAAAAATAAAGAAACCAAATATTGCCTATTTTTGTTTGCAATGTATTTCTTGTAACTAACATAAAACTGGTTAAAAGAGCAAAACACGTGTTGATGTGAATATGTTTTGTTATTTTGTGTTGAATTTATATAAAATTTAGAAATTTATTGCTTGAATAACAAAACCGAGACATGAGTTGTGTTTAAATGTAGTCAAACATTTCATTGACTGTATTTATTTTTTATACGAAGTTTTATACAGTATAATATAATCAGAAATATTTGTTTTTCTAAATTCATTCCAAGAATATTAATGAAACGAATAGTATGTTATCAATACTACAAACAACTGCTTTATTATTAATTTTTCTCAAATATTTATGAGTAAATATGTTTTGTCAAACTACCAAAATTCAGCCATGCTATATAATTCAGCTATATAACCACCAATTAGTTTAAAATTTCAATTGTTTGAGACAATTTCGCCGATTTTTTATATCTCCAATCGATAGAGAATTCTTGAAATTAAATTACAAGCACTTACGTGAATGTCTTTATTTTGCGCAAAGAATTTAATTGAATTTATTTTAATTTTCCAGATCAAGTCAAACAAAAGAAGAACATCAAAACTAGTGGTAAACTATTTATTCATTTTATTTCACAACACTATATAACTTTATAAGTCACATATTGTACACAATATATAGAAATCTAATTTTATCTCAATTCTCATTTATATTCTTATTATTATTTAAATCTGTTTAACTTTTAATTTTAATTCTAAATTTAATTTAACAAATTATTTGTACACTACCTAAAAGCAATCTAAGTTTATTTTTATTCTATAAATCCTAAACAAAATTATTAACATATTTATAGACAACAAAATAGGGCTATATTTATATAAATATACCAGTATAAGTTTGGTTGAATATTATAATTGGTATTTTCAGATACGTTGGAAGGAGAAGAAGATTACTCCAACGCTTCCAATACTTCCAATTCTGGTATTATTTGATTATTTCATGTCCTAAAGAATGTCTAATTATTTAATTACAAATACTTTCAGCACTTCTTCACACAATTAACGGCCAAAGTCTTGAGAAATTATTTCCAATTTTACTGCATTTGATTTACTTTCAAAGAATTTTCTTATGAACTTTATTTTGGAAAATTGCGAGAAAAATATTTTATACAAAATTTTTACAAATAAACAGTTAAGAGAGGAAATCATCAGAAACTCATCACAAATAAACAGATTCAGCAAATGTTGACTCAAATTGAAAAACGCTCACAAAGTGTTGCAAATTTGACTCTAAAATCAGTTCCGATAGATATTTAAACAAGATATCAGCAAATTATAAGCATAATGTTGTTTGAAATGTTATTAATTCTAACTTATTATCGAAAATATGTGTAAATATAATGCATTAATACAGTATATAAATGACGATATGTAAGAAAGTATATAAATATATTTGTAAAAAATGGTGTGTAATTTACAAATATTAATAATAGGTTTTAGTAAATTGATTATACGTTATACTGATATATAAATACCTTTTTATGATTGAATGGTGCTCTTCGTTTCATATATTATATAAGATTAACACATATTTAGCAATAAAAATATGATTCAGTTTTTAAGACTTCTTTTACGTAAAAGTAAATATTTGCCCAAAAAATTGATTTTGAAAGAGAGTCAAAATTATGTCGACAATTGCTTTGAATTATGTATGAAAAATGAGACAAATTTTCTATAAATATCAAACTAATAGGATGTGTCCAAAACATCAGTGATAGTCGACTCTCAAATATTTGACATTTTATTTATTGAAATAATTTTATATCAAATCGCATAAATCATAGCAAATACTTTTATTAATCAAAGTTTTGGTTTAAATAAATCATTGAATAATTTTAAATTATATAGCTTGAATAATTATCCTTTCTGTCCCTTAACTTTTATTTTCACAAAATTTGTAGCCATTATTTATAAGATCAATGTGTTAACAAAAATATTCTTTTGAAATTAAACCGATGTTTAATAAATTAATAAATTGTTTAAATTTTAATGAAATGTTTTGGTCACGACTTGCATCTTATTCTTCAGTTCAGTTGTATTTTAAATCTCTTTAATCCTATTTATTTCAGTTGCCTTTGGTTCTCTCTCTCTCTCGCTCTCTCTCTCTCTCGCTCTCTCTCTCTCTCTCTCTCTCCCCCGTTTCCTATAAAATATAATATAAATCTTATATAAATTTAAAGAGAACTCTAAATCGATTTCAATTTTTCAGTGAATAGAAAGCCTTTTTCAGGATATCATATCTTCTCCATTCTCTCCCTCTTTCTCACTACTAATATATATTTAGTTTAGAGTTTGACTCTCTTTTAAAACCATTTTTACGCTCAAAACCAAACCATTATTAGAATTGATTCATAAAACTTGAAAATTTAGATTCAAATCAAAATTTAAAGTGTACAATAGTTCCCATTAACATTATTGTTTATTATACTATAAAACATTCAATTTTGTAATTTTGTTCATTAATTAATGTAAATTCATAAATTAATAAAAATTAATTTTTTAGTAAAAATGT